AATATATAAATAATTAAATATAAAGAACAAAACAATAGCTAAATACCTTTACTTTTTATTGTATGCTCCTTGACAACAGCAAGCTAAACTAGCAATTTTGAATTAATGGTTTAATTCAAAACACAGAACCCAAATAATGAGCTGTGTAATAAATGATACTTTTTCCCCTACTAAATGAAAAATCTTTTTAGTCAGTCATTAATAGATGTACAATCTGTGAAGAAAATTGCCCACAAATTACAGAATGTAAGTTGATGAGGGAGTATGCTAAATATGTAGGTTATCTAAACTGAAAATTATTTTCTACAAGCAAAATCATATCTACTTAGTCTATTTTACATTTCGCAGTTGTTAAAAAAAAACAAACCCAGAAACTCTGGAAATGCTCTGGGATGCATGGATCTTAACAAATTACCTTCTGTCCATATCAAGATACATTCTTTCAGCCTCTTCAAACCTGCCAAAGTAGGCAGCAACTTCAGCCTGCTTCATTGCCTCACTCTGCAGATGGGCCAGACGCTTCACCAACTTGATGCCTTGATAGTCTCTGCAGCGCACAAATGCCTGCTCTGCAGTTTGCAAGTCCAGTTTCTGAAGAGCTGCTTCAGCCAGTAGGCGCCTTTATTAAGAACAACATTTTAAAAAGACATAAAAGTCTATAACAAGTTACTGGTAACTGGTAATCATGTCTTTTTCTTTTTATAATGTTTTATTGTGAATTGAGTGAAAGCTTACAGGGCAGATTATCAGTTTTACATTCAACAAATCATACACCTTGTTTCATTACAATGATTATAAATAATCCCCTCCATGTAACGTCAGTTAACAGTATTTCTCTCTATTCAGTTTAATTTTTTGTTTTTGTTTTTTAAACACTCATGCATATATAATAATTTACACCACCAAAGGGCACATTCTACAAATCGGCCTCCTGGCCGCCAGCTCTCAGTCCCTCTCTTCCCATGAATCTAGAGTCCTCAGCTGCTCCCTCTCTCCATGTCCCCATCTCTGCCTCCATTTCTGGTGTTGCTGCTTCCCTGGATAAGGTCCCACATTCCGCTTGTGCTCTTCTCCCTTGATGGTCTTGACTGGCTTGCAAGCTTTCAAGAAGGAACCTAGATCCAGAGGACCTGGTGGAAGGTAGAATCTCCAGTGAATAGTATCCAATCTGTCTAGGCAGGGCTGATGCAATGAAATGCAGACAGGTCTCTTGTGATATAACAGTGAATAATTGTTATCAGGACTGAGTGTGGGGGTTGGAAATGTAAAGGTGGACGTTTTATAGCAAGGAGGGGAGTGATTAACTTTTCAGTCAAGGAGCGGAGGTCCCTAGGACCATCAAGGGAGAAGAGCAGAGAGCGGGACCCTACCCAGAGAAGCAGTGATACCTGAAATGGAGGCAGAGATGATGACGTGGAGCGATGGAGCAACTGGAGACTTTAGATCCAGAGAGGGAGGGAGAGTGACTGTGTGTTGAAGACCTGGGGGGTACGAGGGGCAGAATTGCAGGGTATACTCTTTGGTTGGTTGATGATGCATGGAGGGGACTGTAACCATGGCAATGAGATGATATACGATAGAATGAATATAAAATTAATTCTCTCCCATGTAAACTATCACATGTTGTTACTGTTGTTGTTAAGTGCCATCGAGTCGGGTCAATTCACAATAAAACATTTAAGAAAAAAAAGTGGTTATTTTACCAGATTTATACTTGTTTCATGTAATATTATGCTTATGTTAAGTTCTTCCAAATCTAAAATAAATTTCTATATTTAAAAAAAGAACACAAACTGGAAGGTTATTCTTATTAGGAGGTGGGATGAAGAGCTAAGAGTCTAATAGAATACACTTGACATCTTTGTTTTGTGTTTTAGATACCAAAGTCGGGGGTGAGGATTGTCCTCTATAAACTGCGATGCATCTTCAATTCCAACCTTCTCAATCAATGCTCGACTATCTCGCAGGGACCGAATTTCAAAGTTAATTATATAATCCTTGTTTGGATGTTCTGGATTCTAAAAGTAAAGATGGAAAGAAGGGAATTTCAAATAGTTGCCTTTAGAATATGTATTCTTTGATAATAAAAACAAAACAATACAAAAACATATTGTGACAAAAAAAAACACAAAGAATAAAGGAATGTAAATGTTTGGAGTCTTCTGAGTTATCTGGATAATACCCAAAGCCCCCAAACCCCTTCTGCTGCTACCAGACTGCTATCAGGCAATGGGGGAAGGATCCCTTGCAGTTACACTTCCTTGTTTTCTTCAGTTCAAATTGTCTTGTCCCCACGGTGCTACTCTCTTCTGTCAAAAGTGGTACTTCACTCCCAATGGTGCAAAAACCACCCTATGCAACGGCCTCTACTCTTTCACTTCCATCTATTGTCTCCTGACCCAAACAATAAAATTGTTACAGCAGATAAACAGATGGAAGAAAAGAAAAAGGACTAATTTCACACTCCTTTCCTTTTCTAATTTAGCAACCTGACCAAATTTTTTTTAAAAAAATAAGATAAGGCTAGTCTTACAGAAAAGAGCTAGCTAATTTCCAGAGAAAAGAAGCACGCAGTTATAAATAACTCATGGATATGCTATACATTCTAAGTAATGAAAAACATAGAGCATGAGACAATTAGTACCCCATGTGTAAAATAACAACAATGGTTCCTAAAAAGGTAAACTGAGCCACCAACACCACCTCCTCTCTATCTCCCAACTAAACCACTGAAGCCAGAAAATAAAATCTTTACGGAAGAAAGGTCACATGGTAAAAGCATCAGGTTTAGTTTCAGACATGCTGTTGTTAAATGTCATCAAGTTGGTTAAATGTCATCAAGTTGTTAAATGTCATCAAGCTGGTGGGCTCAAATCCTAATTCTACCACTTACTAGCTCTGTGACTACTCATTAACCTCTCTGCTTATCCAAGAACCAGAACCACCTTCATAAAATATAAACCCAACCATGTCACTCACTTGCTTTTGCTCCACTAACTCCAGGATAAAACTCTACAGCAAGATATGTTATATGCTTGATGACCTAGCCCCTTGCTTTCCAGTCTTATTTCTGCCAGCACTGCAGATTACACACAGCAGGTCTGAAACCAGACAGCTTGGAGTCAAGTCATGCCTTTGCCCATTCCTCACTAGATGACATTAGCAAATTAGCTAAGCTTGCCAAGTCTAAGATGCCTCAACTGAAAACATGGACATAATAATTGAGCCTACTTCCTAGAGTTGGGAGGATGAAATGAGATCACTTACAGCAAGCATTTAGCACAATGCCTAACTGTTATTAAAGCATTCCCAGGTCCAGAACTGAACTGAAGTTCTCTCTTGCTTCAGATTTTTTTTAACAGACACATCTACACTGACTGAATCCAACCTTTTCCCAATCAAGCCAACAAGAGAAATTCATTTTTTAATTACCTTTAAAATTTCATCCAAAAGAACAGATTTAATTTCTAAATCCTCAAAATTACAAATATATCCAGAAGTCTGAATGGGTTCCTTTAAAGGTAAAAACAAATGTTATCTTTAATTATAGAAAAAGTTTCCTCCTTTAGTATATTTTATTGCAAAAGCATTTATTATACAAACTTATTTTATTATAAAACATTTCAAGTGAACAGAAAAGTAGAGAGTATAATTAATTCCCCCATGCCCATCGCCTAAATATTCACATTTTATTAAATATGCTACTTTTATTATTTAACTAAAATATTTTTAAAGTAAAATAAATTATAGACAACACATGACATTTTACCCTTAAATACTTCAGTACATATCTAAAAGTTAGGGACATGCTCTTTTATCATCACGGTAATTCCCTAATGACATCTAATATTCAGTTCAAATTTTCCCAATTAATCTAAGATGTATTTTGGATTAATTAGGAAAATATATAGCTTGATAGTTTAATTTATATGACTTAGCATTAAACTTCATTCTTACAAAAACTGACACACATTAATATTTGCATCTGGTGTGGTGCTGTGGGTTAATGACCCAGACTGCAAAGCCATTTGAACTGCAAGGTTGGCAGTTCAAACTCACCAGCTGCTCTTTGGAAACCCTATACAGGGTTGCTATGGGTGGGAACTGACTCGACTGAACTTAACAACATATATCAAAATTCCCATTGTTGTTGTTGTTATGTGCCATGGAGTCGGTTCTGACTCATAGCGATCATGTACAGGGTTTCCAAGGCTGTAAATCTTTACAGGAGCAGAAAGCCTCATCTTTCTCCCGCAGAACAGCTGATAGTTTCAAACTGCTGTCCCTGAGGTTCTCAGCCCAATTCGTAAGCACTACGCTACCAGAGGTGACATCAAATTAGTTCAGACTCATAGTGACCTTAAGCACAACGAATGATATGTTGCCTGGTCCTGCATCATCCTCACAATCGTTGTTAAGATTGAGCCCATTGTTGCTGCCACTGTGCCAATCGATCTCATTGGCGGTCTTACTCTTTTTCACTGACCCTCAACTTTACCAAGTATGACCATCCTTCTCCAGGGACTGGTCCCTCCTGGCAACATATCCAAAGTATTAGAAATGAAACCTCACCATCCTGGCTTCTAAGGAGCAATCTGGCTATACTTCTAACACAGATTTGTTTGTTGTTCTGGCAGTCCCTGGTATTTTTAATATTCTTCTCTAACACCATAACTGATATGTATCAATTCTATGGTCTTCCTTAATCATTGTCCAATTTTAACATGCATATGAGGCTACTGAAAATATGATGGCTTGAGTCAAGAGTACTTTATTCCTCAAATTGACATCTTGGCTCTTGAACACTTCAAAGAGGTCTTTCTTGTACAGCAGATTTGCCTAATACAATATGTCATTTGATTTCATGACTGCTGCTTTCCATGAGTGTTGATAGTGGATCCAAGCAAAATGAAGTGTTTGACAATTTCAATTTTTTCTCCATTTATCATGATATTATTTATTGCTCTAGTGATGAGAATTTTTGTTTCCTTTACATTGAGGTGCAAACCATACTGAGTTTGTGGTCTTTGATCTTCATCAGTAAAGTATTTTAAACCTTCTTTGCTTTCAGCAAGCAAGGCTATATCATCTGCATATCACTGGTTGTTAATGAGTCTTCCTCCAATCTTGATGCCATGTTCTTCTTCATATAATTCAGCTTCTCGGATTATTTGTTCAGAATACAGATTGAGTAAGTATGAAGAAAGAAAACAACCCTGGCACACATCTTTCCTAATTTTAAACCATGCAGTGCCCCTTTGTTTTGTTCGAAGGACTCTTGGTCATTGTACAGGTTCCTTAATTAAGTGTTCTGGGATAGCTATTCTCCGCAATGCTGTTCATAACTTGTCATGATCTACATAGTTGAAAGCCTTTGTGTAATCAACAAAGCATAGGTAAACATCCTTCTGGTATTCTCTGCTTTCAGCCAAGATCCATCAGACATCAGGAATGATATCCCTCACTACAAGTGCCCGTCTGAATCCGGCTTGAACCTCTGGCAGGTTCCAGTCATTGTTCTGTTGTAGCCATTTTTAAATTATCATAAGCAAAATTTTACTTGCATATGATATTACTGATATTGTATGATGATTTGTTAGGTCATCTCTCTTTGAATAGGTACAAATATGAAACTCTTTCAATCAGTTGACCAGGTAGCTATCTTTCAAATTTCTTGGCATAGATAAGTGAAAGCTGCATCCCTTTGTTGAAATATTTCTATCTGTATTCCATCAATTCCCAGAGCCTTGCTCTTTGCCAATCAATGCCTTTGGTGTACCTTGACATCTTCCTTCAGTATCACTGGCTCTTTCTCTTATGCTACCTCTTGAAATGGTTGAACATTGGCCATTTCTTCTTGGTTAAATGACTCTGTGTAGTCCTTCCATCTTCTTTTGATGCTTTCTGCATTATTCAATATTTTGTCCATGGAATCCTTCAATATTGTAAGTCAAAGCTTGAAATTTTTCTTCAGTTCTTTTAGCTGAGTGTGCTCATCCTTTTTGGTTTTCTAACTCCATGTCTGCATATTTCATTATAAATTTGACTTTGTCCTCTCAGGCTGCCCTTTGCAATGTTCTGTTCCACTCTTTTACCTCATTTCTTGCATTTGCTGTAGCATCTCTACACTGCAGAGCAAGTTTCAGGGTCTCTTCTAACAACCATTTTCGTCTTTTCCTTCTTCCTTACCTTATTAATGACTTTATGCTTTCTTCCTGTAAGATGTTCCTGATGTCATCCCACAAATTTTATACTTGTAAAAAGTTTCCAAAGTAATTGAACATTATTGGTACATAAGCATATATTTACTAATATCTAGCTAATACTCAATGAGAATTATCTAGGTAATTTCCAACGAGATGGATTGGCACAGTGGTAGCATCAATGGGCTCAAACATAGCAACAATTGTGAGGTTGGCCCAGGATTGGGCATTATTTCGTTCTTTTCTGTACTATTATGCACAGGGTTGCTATGAGTTGGTACCAACTTGATAGCACCTAAAAACAGGTAATTCTCTGTAGGATAAACAATGAACTATAAACCACAAGGCCTGTGGTTCAAGCCCACCAACCACTCTGTGGGAGAAAGATGAGGCTTTCTGATGTCACAAAGATTTACAGCCTTGAAGGCCCTACATAGAATCTTCACGAGTTGGAACTGGTTTGACGGCACTTAACAACAAACAAGAGGTAATTCAGATTTTTAAATATTCAACTTCTGCTGCAATTGCCTCAATCAATTTTCTTTATTTTCTAAAATTCACTTGACACCTATCCACATTACATTTGAATATGAAATTACAGACCACTGGTTTCCAAAGCTGGTACAGGTACACTTACCCAGACAATATGTGATTTATTTTTATCCAACATTATTTAAAGCTTTATTAATAATATGGACTCCTGGTGAAGTACTGCAGGATCTGCACTGGACTGCAAACCACAAGGTCAGCAGTTCAAACCCACTAGTCATTCCTCGGAAACCCTATTCAGGGTTGCTATGAGAAACGACTCAACAACACTTACCTACAACAACAATAATGTATACATGGTCTCCTGGTGCAATGCTCTAGGATCAGCAGTAGAATATGAACTACAAGGTCAGCATTTCAAACCTACCAGCTGCTCCTTGGAAACCTTATACAGGGTCGCCATGAGTCAGAACTGACTTGACGGCACTTAACAACAACAATGTGTATATAACAAGATGCACTGGTATCCTTTGTCAGCCATAATATATGTAACACAAAAGGTATCCTGAGGTGCGCTTCTCCACTCAATTTTAGTATAGTCTGGCATATTGAAATATGAATGGGACTAGTTAAGTAGATTTTGGGATTATATTATCTAGGGCTAGTCAACGCTCACAAAATGAACATTTTAAAAAGCTTAGTGCAGAGAGTCTGTGAATGAAAGGTAATGTAAGCACAAGCAAACAAGAAAAGGCAGAACTAACACCTTCTTACTAACACAAATTCTTGTATAAGCAAAATTACACAGTAAAAACAATGACAATCAAATCAGATCTGACAAAAAGTCAAAATTATCTATTTCAAATTACTATCTGAAACATGGCAGTTAACTGTAAAGTATGCACATACTTTGTTGTTGTTTTTATTAAGTGTTGTCAAGTCAGTTCCAATTCATAGCAACCCAGCATAGGGTTTTCAAGGCTGTAAATGTTTACAGGAACAAAAAGTTTTCTCCCACAGAGCAGCTGGTAGGCTTGAACCACTGACCTTGTGGTTCCCAGTCAGTGTTTATTTGACAGAGCAACCACACTCCCCAGGTATATACTTTGTTGTTGTTGTTAGGTGCCATTGAGTCGGTACCGACTTATAGCAACCCTATGCAAAGCAGAACAAAACACTGCCCGATCCTGGGCCAACCTTACTACTTTTGCCACGCTTGAGTCCATCGATACTGCCACTTGGCCAATGTATCTTGTTGGGGGTCTTCCTCTTTTTCTCTGACCCTCCACCTTACCAAACATGACATCCTTCTCCAGCGACTGGTCCCTCTTGACAAAATGTCTGAAGTATGAGAGACGAAGTTTGGCCATCTTGGACGCTAGCTAATATGTAACAATTAGCATGACATTTTAAAATAAGTCTGTATCATCCTTTAAAAATGTACCTTTTTCTCATTCTCTAAACATTTCTATTTGGGGATGATTCATAAGGTAATTATATTAATTTGGTAAGTCAGTATATAATTTACAAATAAATAGGTATTGGGGTAAATTCAAATGTTTGTATACCACTTGCTTAGAATGGAGAAGAAAACATACAATAATGAGAACCAGTGGTTCAAAATGCAAAATAAGAAATGAATATGATGTAATAGTACCAATGAAGAGGGAAGACAAAATAAATAGTAGCAATGAGAGGGAAGGCAATGTTCTTCTACTCAAAAAGGAGGGAGAATTGAAGTCATACTTTAACAGGAATACTGGAGATGAAAATGATCAAGTAGGGAATTTCATTAGTAAATACATTTTTTCTAGTTTTCTAATTCAATTCTCAAATGGTGAAAACATATTGCTATTAATGTTCAAATAACAGCTAATCTCCTGAAGAAGCATACTAGTCTATTGCTCTGCAGCTCCAGGAAGTTTCTCTACTTTGACAAATCTGCCCTTCCATGATCGCTGGGCAGCTAGAGGAATGAGCACAGACTAACTAACCAGGCCATGACCACACTCCGCCAGTGTCCTCACGATGAATGAAAGGAATAGCACACCATGGCTTATATAAAGAAATCCAGTCAGTGGTGAGTTTCAAAGAACTCCATCTAGCTCTAAGCCTAATAGAAATTAAACTACTTGTCAAACCAGAAAATAACCTCAAATTAAAAAAAGAAGGCCCTTCTGTCAAAACTACTTAAAAAACACTTTCCACCAGGCAAAGATTTCACTTGGTACAAGATTGACCATGTGTATAACACACACATTATGAACAGCCAGGTACAACAAATTCTCTCATTTCTCCAGGCACACTGACGTGTGATTTGGGATTAGTGGGGCCAAAACCTTAACATCTGAAAAGAATCTACTCCTATGCTCAGTGTCATGCTGTAATACCTGTCAGAGTCCCACACTTGTTTTGTTAAGAAGGGTCAACCTTTCCTTTGGCCCTTAGAACTCTGAGTTTACAGACCAAATTCAGCAGCTCTGAATGCCTTTGGATTAGACCATTACACAGGGGCCCTGGTAGCACAGTGGTTACAAGTCGGGCTGCTAACCTCAAGGTTAGCAGTTCGAAACCACCAGCTATTGCGTGGGTGAAAGATGAGACTTCCTAGTCCCATAAAGATATACAGCCTTAAAAATCCTATACAGGGTCGCTATGAGTCAACTGACTCTACAGCACACCACCACCACAAACAACCATTATTAGGAGTGCTGGTATGACACTGTGGACTACAAAGTCAGTGTGAACCACAAGGTCAGGGTTCAAGCTCACCAGGTGCCTCTAAGAATCCCTCCTGATGTGGTACTGTAGGATCTGCACTGGACTACGAACCAAGAGATCAGTAGTTCAAACCCACCAGTTGCTCCTTGGAAACCCTATACAGGGTTGCCATGGGTCAGAACCAACTCAATGGCAACTAACAACAACAACCGCCACAACGAGATTCCTAAAAGCTTTAACAACAAAGCCTTTGAGAATAATTTATATCAGGTTGCTTGTGAAGCCAAAGATCCTAGTATAAGTCAAATGGGAAAATAAGAAAATAATGAAGGTTATCAAGGATCAAATTATTTCTAGATTGCATTTAATCTTGTTCATATCTCAAAAGAGATTAACTCAAGATATACCTTACACTAATCCTGACTCATTAACATAATAAAAACAACTCATTCCCAAATA